GGACAGGGGCGGGGCCTTGGAGGGGCGGGGCATGGGCGGGTGGGGGAAGAGGGCGTGGCCAGTGCGGAGGGGCGGGGCCTGTGTGGTTGGGTGGGGCATGCTGGCGTGGGCGGGACAGAGGGCGTGGCCAGCGGAGGGGCGTGGTCAGGCAGGGCGGGATTCCCTGGCTTGGGTCTGGCTGGTGACTCAGCCCAGGCGTGGGGTGTCAGGGCTATTTAGAGGCTGTGACCCCTGCTCCTGGGACCCCTGCCTCCTGCTGAGTGTGTGTGTGTGTGAGATCTGTGTGTCAGGTGTGTGTGTGGGTGTGTCAGGCCTGTATGAGGTGTCAGATCTGTGTGTCAGGTGTGTGATGTCAGATCTGTGTGTCAGGTGTGTGATGTCAGATCTGTGTGTCAGGTGTGTGATGTCAGATCGTGTGTCAGGTGTGTGATGTCAGATCGTGTGTCAGGTGTGTGATGTCAGATCGTGTGTCAGGTGTGTGGTGTGGGTCAGATCTGTGTGTCATGCCTCTATGAGGTGTCAGATCTGTGTGTCAGCCTGTGCATGTGTCAGCCCATGAGTCACCCGGCTCCCCGTGTCCTTCCAGACTCTTCCCGGGTGGTGACCCGGTGCTCTGGCAGGTGACCGGGTTTATTTCTGCCCCTGGAATAGGCAGCTATGAGTCCCGAGGATGATTGCAGGCTCCCCACACACACACCGGCCTGGGGCAGCCGGGCAGCGCAGGCCGGGCCTGGCATGCAGGGCCCAGGCCCAGCCACACACAAGGGGGCACCCAGACCTGCGCCCCACACCGGCCGTGACCCCAGCGCCTGGCCGGGACAGGTGCCGAGAGGCTATGGATAGTGAGCGAGCCGGAAAAGCCGGCAGAGGACGCCTGTCATCCCAGCTGCTCAGGAGGCTGAGATCTGGAGGATCGGGGTTCGAGGCCAGCCTGGGGCAGGAAAGTCTGTGAGGCTCTCATCTCCAATGAACACCTACCCACCCCCCAAAAAAGAGCCAGGAGTGGCGCTGTGGCTCAAGTGGCAGAGCACCGGCCTTGAGCAAAAGAAGCTCATGGACAGCGTCCAGGCCCAGTCCTGGGGCTTGAACTCAGGGCCTGGGCGCTGTCCCTGAGCTGCTTTTTGCTCAAGGCCTGGTGCTCTACCACTTGCACCACAGCTCCTCCTAAGCCTTTTTACTTTTATTCAATAGTTCACTGGAGATCAGAGTCCCATAGACTTTTCCTGCCCGGCACTGGCCTGGAACCACGATCCTCCAGATCTCGGCCTCCTGAGGGGCTGGGATGACAGGCGTGAGCCACGCGCACTGGTGCTGTCAGTGACTATTTCGGGCTGGTTACAGCAAACCCTAGTGAGGAGCCCTGAGGCCTGGACAGGACTCATGCAGCAGCAGCAACAACAACAAAACAACAAAGCCGCAGAAGATTGGCGGAAGCGAGAGTAAGCGAGTACTGACTGGTGTCTGTCTCTAAATCCGTGATTATGGAACGCAGCCCTCATGCCCAGACGCTCATTCAACAGCTATTCCTTTCCTTCCCCTTCCAGCACTACACTGAACAGAGTCTCACGGACTTTCCTTTCCCAGGGCTGGGCCTCAAACCACCATCCTCGAGATCTCAGCCTCCACCGAGAGGACAGAGGTTCAGGGCCTCTGAGCCTTGGCCACAGGACATTGGTATTTCTCTCTCTGTCTCTGTCTGTCTCTCCTCCCCTGCTTCCTCTCTCCTTAAAAATAGATCTTCCTGCAGTGGCTTCTGTTCTTTTGCAAGACACAAGCCTCTCTCCCCCCCCACCCCTCCTCCCGGTTGGGGATTTTGTCTGGTCTCCCCCTCAGTGTGAGTTGGGGTGGTTTCCTCCAAATAGAACTGCTGGCTAAGGGTTTGGCCAGACACACTGGACAGACAGACGAGTCTTACTACCCGCTGTTTCTAATAAAACAACAACAAAAACCACCCAGTCAAGTAGGAAAGCCGAGGAAGGGAATGACCCTATCCTAGCCCGGCCTGGAGGCTCACACCTGTAATCCCAGCCACCCAGGAGACACAGCCCTGGGCTACATAGCAAAATCCTAATCTCACAACAACCACCACCCACCCTGAGCTGGGGAGATGGCTCTGAAAATCCTTCACTCATTCATCAGAGTTAAACTATGGCGTCCTAACAGATAGCATGTAATTCCTTAAAATCAGAAAAGTTAAAAAAAAAAAAAAAACAGAGACCTGTAAAGACAAAATCAACAAAAGGAAAAGAACTGTTAAAAGTCCTAAGGAAAGAAATACTAAGAGCACCAGCCTTGAGCAAAAGAAGCTCAGGGACAGCGCCCAGGCCCTGAGTTCAAACCCCAGGACTTGTACACAGACACCTATGGGAAAAAAAATAAAATAATAAAGAAACCACAGTGAAATCACACTTCCCATCCACACCCAGAAGGACTAGATTTGTTTGAAAAAAACAAGACGTGTGAGAAAGGAAGTTGATCAGGAACCCACACTCAAACGGTGGCTACCATTTTATTTTTTGTTTTTTTTGCCAGTCCTGGGGACTTGAACTCAGGACCTGGATACTGTCTGTCCCTGGGCTTCTTTTTGCTCAAGGCTGGTGCTCTACCACTTGAGCCACAGCGTCACGTGTGGCTTTTTTGCCGATTTCCTTGGAGATCAGAGTCTCAGGGACTTTCCTGCCCGGGGCTGGCCTCGAACCGCGATCCTCCGGATCTCAGCCTCCCTGAGCAGCTAGGAGGACAGGCGTGAGGCGGGGTGGCTCAGCTAGAATGGACCTAGAAGGGGTTCTTTTCTGAGGAGAAGCCACCAAAAGGCCCCTGGCCCGTGTGAGTTTTGGGCAATGGCAGCCAGTGGCAGTTGGGACTGCAAATCACCCAGCACCTTGGAGGATGAGGGGCTGACCTCTTCCCCTTTCACTTCCCGATGCTCCACGGCCAGCTTGAAATGGAAATTTCCACCTCAAGATGGAGACGGTGAATACTACCGCTGAGTACCGGTGGCTCGCGCCCGTCAGTCATCCCTACCACCCGGGAGGCTGAGAGCCGGAGGATTGTGGTTGGAGGCCCAGCCCTTGGCAGGAAACGTCCCAGAGACTTATTTATTCATTTGGCCAGTCCTGGGGTTTGAACTCAGGGCCTGGGCGCTGTCCCCGAGCTGCTTTGGGCTCAATCAAGGCTGGCGCTCTACCACTTGAGCCACAGCGCCACTTCCGGCTTTTCTGCTCACTCATGGGAGGTGAAGAGTCTCACGGACTTTCCCACCTGGAGGCTGGCCTCCAGCTGTCATCCTCCAGATCTCGGCCTCCTGAGGTGGCTGGGATGACAGGCAGGAGGCGCCAGACATGGCCTCATTCCTGAATCGATGTTGCTATCTCTGTGTGTGTGTTTGGAGTGTGGAATTTCCCTCCACGTGATCCTGCCGGGCAGGGGAAGGGGGGAGAGAGAGCCTCACATCCAGGACAGGAGATGAAGCCCAGGGCTGGTAGGGCAGCATACACCTGTAGTCCCGGCTCCCTGGGGAGACAGGATCAGCCTTGCCACAGGAAATGCAATGCGGCTGAGTGTGTCCTGACTTCTGTCCCCTCCTCTCCCAGGCCCGGGGGGGGGGGGGGGAGAATTCGCTGTGAAAGCAAAAAAAAAAAAACAAACAACACACTCACAAAAACACTCCCCAAAAGCCCATTCTGCAGCTTCAAACCCCAAAGGGGAAGTCTTGGGGTTTTCTCAGCTTCCCCACCCTGAACCCCACACCCCAAGCTCACGCTTGCACACAGGGTGCTGGGAAGTGGAGGGGGGTGGGTTCGAATCCTGGTGGGTGGGCGACTCATGCCCATCACTGTGGAGGCTGCGATCCGAAGGATTGAGGTTGGAGGCCAGCCTCCAGGTAGGAAAGTCCGTGAGACTCTTTATCTCCAGCAAAGCAGCCCAAAGCCCTGAAGTGGAGGTGTGGATCAAGGGGTAGAGTGTGAAAAGCTGAATCAAGAGCTGGAGGTCCTAAGTTCAAACGCTAGTACTGGCTCGTGTGTTTGCACACACACACACACACACACACACACACACACACACACACACACAGCTCCTTGGGACCTTCATTTGGTTCCTAGCGTGTCTTTGTGTGTGTGTTGGCCAGGCCTGGGGCTTGAACTCAAGGCCTGGGTGCTGTCCCTGAGCCTCTCTGTGCTCACAGCTGGCGCTCTACCCCTTGAGCCACAGCGCCACTTCCAGCTTTTTCCAAGTAGTCTATTGGAGATCAGAGTCTCACGGACTTTCCTGCCCGGGGCTGGCCTCCAATCTCGATCCTCCAGATCTCAGCCTCCCAAGTAGCCGGGATGACAAGCGTGTGCCTCAGTGCCCGGAAAGCCAAGGGTGAATATTCAACCCATCTCCCCCCCCCACCCCCAGACTCGAGTCAGGTCTCAGATCCCAAGCACCAATCTTTTACTGGGGGAGAAGGAAAACGATCAGCAAATTGTGGTTTGGGCTTTAAGCCATCGATTCGAATCTGGGGCCCAAATGACTCAACCTCCAAAAATAAGTCTTTTCTCTTCAGAGGTGTTAAAGAACAACTCGCCAAGACCCATGGATTCCCCCCAGACTCCTGTGGCCCCCGCGACCTCTCCCAGCCCCGCAACAAAAGACAGAAATAGACGTCGAGTGCATGTTCACGTATGTTCATATGTTTTTATGCATGTATAGTACATCACATATATAACACGCAGGGCTGGCAGGGTGGCTCAGTGGTAGAGCGCTGGCCTGGCATGCCTGAGGCCCTGGGTTCCATTCCTCAGCACCCCATAAGCAGAAAAAGCCAGAAGCGGCACCTCCGCCTCCTCCGAGGAGGCTGAAGTCTGGAGGATCGCGGCGCGAGGCTGAGCCAGCCTAAGAGATTCCACAGGCCTCTTTCCTGTGCCACAAACCGGCGAAGAAACACCAAGCAGGAAACAGAGCATGGCTCGGGGGAGGGGGAGTGAGCACGCTAGGCCCGGAGGCCTGAGGCCCTGAGTTCGAGATCTGGGGCACCAGGGAGGAGGATGGGGGGGGGTTAGAGCAGGACAGACCTGTTCCCTTCACTCGTGTCCAGGGTGTGCGAGGCCCCAGGCATGCTCTCGGACCTGGGGGATTGGGGTGGATCGGAGCCCGCTAGCCACTTTCTGGCCAGCTGGCGGAGGTAGCCACGGAACCTGTCCCCCGCGAAAGTGTAGATAATGGGGTTCAGGCAGCAGTGGCTGAAGGCCAGAGTCTCGGCCAGGGTGAGGGCCAAGCGCAGCTCGCGGCGGGCGGTGCAGTCAGGGAAGAAATCAAAGAGCCTGAGCGTGTCCAGGACCAGGAGCACTTGATAAGGAGTCCAGAAGACCAAGAAGGCCACCACCACCAGCAGCACGAGGCGGAGGGCCCGGGTTTTCCGGGGATCGCGGGCCACGCACAGCACCCGCGTGATGCGACACGAGCAGAAGGTGAGTACTAGCGCGGGTAGCGCGAAGCCCAGCAGCGTGGTCTCCACGGCGCGCAGTACGGGCCACACCAGCTGCAGGGACGCAGGGTAGACGCCCAAGCACTCGCCCTGGCTGCGGCCTGTGAACATGAACTGCGGGGCAGCGGCCAGCAGCGCGGCCCCCCACACCCCCAGACTGCGGGTCACCCCGTGGGAGGCTGATCGCCCCCCCAGGGCCGCAGCTGGCCGCACGATGGCCACGTAGCGATCCACGCTGATGAGGGTCACGAAGAAGACCCCCGCGAAGAAGCCCACGAAGAAGAGCGTGGTGACCAGGGCGCATGCGGCGTGGGGCAGGCCCGTGGGGCTGATCACGTAGTGCGTCCACACGGGCAGCGTGGCCACGAAGAGCAGATCGCTCAGGGCCAGGTTGAGCAGGTACACGTCGGTCACGCCGCGTGTCCGCCTGCCCGGCCCGCAGCCCACGGCCAGCACCACCAGCGTGTTCCCCACCAGCCCCACGGCGAACACGAGTGAGTACCACACCGGCAGGAAGAGGGCCCCCAAGGCCACCACGTCCTCCAGGGAGCAGGCTTCAGCTGATGTGTCGTACTCAAAGTTCTCGAGGTCGTAGGCCGGTTCGGAGGTGGCCATGTTTGAGCTGGTGAGCTGGGAAGCCTGGGGTCAGGAGAGGAAGAACCACGGGGTAGGGAGGAGGGATCAGGCCCCCATCATCACAGCTACTCGGGAGGCTGAGGTGTGGAGGATCGCGGGTGGAGGCCGGCTGCCTCCAAAGCAGGAAAGGCCCCATTGAGACTCAGATCTCTCTCTCTCTCTCTCTCTCCCAGGGAAACCAGCAACCCAAAGCAAGCGTGGCTCTGTGGCTCAGGTGGGTCGAATGCCAGCCTTTGAGGGAAAAGCAGTCCCAGGACAGCGCCCAGGCCCTGAGTTCAAGCCCCCAGGCCTGGCAAAATGGAAGAGGAAATTCTCGGGGGGCCCAAAAGCTTGGAGGAAGACAGGAAGCTCCTGCTAGATCTCCCAAATGCCACCATCAGCATCACCATTATTATTGTTATTTTTATTATTTTTTGGTCGGTCGTGGGGCTTGAACTCTGGGCCTGGGCGCTGTCCCTCAGCTCTTCAGCTCAAGGCAAGCGCTCTACCCCTTGAGCCACAGCGCCACTTCCGGTTTCCTGGTGGTTCATTGGAGAGAAGAGTCTCACGGACTTTCCTGCCTGGGCTGGCTTTGAACCGTGATCCTCAGATCTCAGCCTCCTGAGTAGCTAGGATGACAGGTGTGAGCCACCAGCGCCTGGCTCACCATTATTATTATTCGATCCAGGGGCTTGAACTCAAGACCAGGGCACCATCCCTGAGCCTTTTTTGCTCTGCTCAAGGCTGGTGCTCTACCCTGTGGAGCCATCGCTCCAGTTACTGCCTGTATCGTATTCCCTTATCTTCTTCTCTTTTGGCTTCACGGAAGATAAGCATCTCATGGATGTCCCTGCCTTGGGCTGGGCCTTCAACCGCGATCCTCCGGATCTCAGCCTCCCGAGTGGCTAGGATGACACAGGGTGAGCCACCGAGCACCGGCTCCAGTACTTCTAATACTCAGTACTTGTAAAACTCTTTTCCATCACCCACCCTTGGAAGAAGAAAGAGGCGGAGGCCCGAGCTTGAAGTTTGTTGATTGGCTTTGGGACACACATAAGTGGACCTTCCCCCCTCCTCCCTCCCCTCCCCTCCCCTCCGGCCTGGGGAGCCTGAGCCCCGCCCCCAAACCACCCACACAGGTGTGTCTGTGTCCACCTGGCACAAAGAGGAAGAGGAGGAAGAAGAGGAGCCACACACCTGTCAGTCTGGGCAGACACAGCTCAGAGTTCACCGTGGACTGAATTGAATCTCTGTCTCTGTCTCTCCGGTCCCTTAGGCGCTGTGTCTTTATTCGGCCCATTAGCCAATCACGTCTGGCTTCCTGTGAGGCCGGGGCGGGTGTCTCTATCTTTAGACACTGCCGGGAGGGCCGGCTCGGTTGCAGCCTGCTGCAGACAGGACTGAGCCCAGGAAGAAAGCGGGGAAGGAGGGAGCGCTGGGATTGGATCTCCCGGCCCTGGAGATGAGTGGGAAGCTTGATGGTGTGGCTGAGATGTGTAGCTCCCTCTCTTAATCCAGGCTGGCCATGTGTTGGGGCGGCTCATGCCTGTCGCTCCAGCTACTGGGGAGGCTGAGATCTGGAGGATCATGATTCAAAGCCAGCCCGAGGCAGGAAAGTCCGAGAGACTCTCATCTCCCATATATATATATATATATATATAATTGGTCGTGGGGTTTGAACTCAGGGCCTGGACGCTGTCCCTCAGCTCTTCAGCTCAAGGCTGGTGCTCGACCACTTGAGCCACAGCGCCACTTCCAGTTTTCAGGTGGTTCCTTGGAGATCGGAGTCTCCTGGACTTTTCCTGCCCAGGCTGGCCTCCATCCATGATCCTCCACCTCTCAGCCTCCTGGGTAGCAGGGATGACAGGCGTGAGCGGCTGGTGTCCAGCTTAGGGCTCTCACCAGGAGTCCGTGCCTGACGGTGACGGTCATTCCCCACCTTCACCACCAGAGGGCGCGCCAGGCCCAGGACTCCCGAGTGACAGAGGCGATCATTCCCCACATCCACCACGGGAGGGCGCGCCAGGCCCAGGATTCCGTGAATGACGGTGACCACCATTCTCCACCGTGACCAGGAGAGGGCGCCCCAGGCCCAGAGCTGGGTTTGTTCTGTATTTGCTTTTCATTTATTACTAATTAGTGTTTATTTTACTTCTTTCCTTATTATGTCTTCGTAGCGATCATTGGTTCCCTTTATTAGCTCATTTCCTTGCAATTATTATTGTTCATTATGCATATACTTTACTTCTTTGATTATTTGTGGGTTTTCTTTTTGGTGTTTTCTTGGGTTTTGTCGGTCCTGGGGCTTGAACTCAGGGCCTGAGCGCTGTCCCTGAGCTCTTGTGTGCTCAAGGCTGGGTGCTCTACCACTTGAGCCACAGCACCACTTCTGGCTTTTTCTGTGTCTGTGGTGCTGAGGAATCGAACCCAGGGCTTCATGCATGCTAGGCGAACGATCTACCACTGAGCCACCTGCCCCAGCCCCTTTTCTGGCTTTTTGGAGATGAGTCTTCATGCACTTTCCTGCCCTGGCCGGCTGTGAACTGCACTCAATCAGATTCACAGCCTTCTGAAGAACTGGGATTACAGGCGGGCGCCTCAGCGCCTGGCCCCATGACACACTAGGGTCTCCATTTCCCATCACTCACTAGCCGTTTGCCGCTCATCCAGGTGTAGAACGTCATTATGCATAGGCTTTGAGAGTGCGTGTGTTTTTGTGCTCTTCCTGGGATTTGAACACGGGGCCTGGGCCAGTCTGTGGTATCGATCTCATCAGAACACGGCAAGGCCGATGTCCTCGGAGCTCCACGGGACCGGAGCTCCTCTAAAAAAAGAATAAAATCTTCTCCCTGTGACAGTTTTTCACCCAAGTGGATGAAAACACAAGTCAAATACAAGTAAAGCAACGCAGTTCCGGCTCGGCCCGGCAGGTGGCGCTGACGACGCCTCCCAGGAGCCCCGCCCACCCAGGAGCTCCGCCCATCGGCACCGCCCCTCGCCACGCCCACCTGCCTCGCCACGCCCACCGAGGGAGCGACCGCGGGAGGCGGGGCCAGGGAATGGGCGGGGCCGCGTGCGTCC